GAGCCCATGTCCATTTGCCCTCCTGGTTGCTGCAGTTTGAACTATAAGAAATCTTTTCCAGACATATCAGTTGGCCCAAGAGAGTAAATGCCAAAAGGCCCATTTTCAGATCTACTTCTCACCCTCCTTTCCTTGAGGTAAAAAGCATGCTATGCCGGTAATTACAGCAGGTACAACATGGAGATGTTGACAGTATTTTATCTCTCCCCCCAGGCCCTTTTATTTCCACCCCACTGAAAATTCTTTTGAGCCTTGGAGTGGGGCCCATGGCTGCACACTGCCCATTTTTAACCACTGTCCTCGAAGGCTGACTTCACGCTGAGACGGCGGTTGGTTGGGGACTCTGGTGGCCGTATTATTTGTCAGAACTAATCTCCAGGTCACAAACATTTTTAATTAAAGTTGTCCTGTAAATAGCTTATATTCATTTCCTCTGGCTCTCACAAGTCAGTAGAGACTGGGTGTGATCAGCTTAGGTCAGGACATCCAGCCAGATGAGGTAAATGAAATTGAACTTGAAGGATTAAAATACTGCTTTTGAAGATAAATGCACTGCCCTTCCAGAGAAGGTGAAATTTGTTTTAAATAAATACCTAGAAAGCATTTTTCTCCTGCACTGGTGGTTCCTTTACGTTTTTTAATAAGTGGAGTTAATCATTCTTTGAAATTTACAGTCAAGTGAAAGGACAAGAAAGACAGATATTGAAAGCATTTTTCATTGAACCCGAGTGTGGAGGCAGCCCTTGGGGATACCAAAGGCACAGGAATGTGATTACTTGCTCTAGACATGGATGGTCTTTTAAATCGCATTACTTCTTTGGACTTTGAAAATTGCATTTCTAGTGGAGACTCAGCTCATAAATCCAGAAATGGATTTTTAGATGAAAAAGGTGATCTCTTTGCCTTTTTGGAGCAGCCAGGAATACGGGGGGAAAGTAATTAAATCAGGCACAGCAGTAATTGCACTTGAAAGCTCTTGTATTTGACTTCAGCAACTTAGAATACGAGGACATCAATTTTATTCCTTTCAGGAAAAATATCTTTCAACTCTCTCACAGTTTAGTTATAAGGATATTTTTAAGATCTCAAATAGCACAGATTTTTTTCAAGCATATTTTCATATTTTACAATTGCTGGGGTTAATGGTAACCTGCATTTCCTGGCATTTGAATCTTGGCAGGTGTAGAGACTCTATTAAAACACCAGTCTGGGTGTCGCTCCTGTTTGCTTCCCAAGCGCCTTGCTTTTGTGACACTCTTATCAGCCATCACAGTGTCTCCCTCTTGCCCAAATCTCACTGTCTTGTCTGTGAGGGTAGGATTGTCTGTTACCCACTCTTCTGTCTCCGCTATATACTTGACACGTGGGTGGTGCTACTACTTATACCCCTGGGAGACAGATGCCCAAGACATGGGGAGGAATGAAACAAAATGTGTCTATTTAAGGAGCTCAAAGACAACGAAACTACAGAATACAATTCAATGTGAGCAGTGTAGTAAAGAGGTAAGTGCAGTGCTCTTGAGTCCAGGTTCCCTGGCATCATTACTGTGGCCGTATCAGGTGTCACAGCCCTGTCCACGAGGCATTTCCCATCCAAGCTCTTTAGTTAACCCTATATGAGAAAAAATAAGTAACTTGAATGTTCTTCCTTTTCATTTTTTTAAATCATCTCTGATACAGAGGTCAGTAAACAATTTCTTAGAGGCAACCAGAGAAACAGTGCCCTGGCTAATCTGAACCTGGGTAACCATTTCTTTAAAATCTTGATTTTCTTGGGTTTTGACCAGTGTTAGTGTTTGATACTAATGCCATCTTTGTATTTAAATGTGCTCAACAAATACTGCTCCTGGTGGTAGTAGTAAGGGTAGAGGCTAACATGACAAAGCATGCTAGGCATTGTCCTGAGGGCTTCAACTGTTCTAATCCACTTGATCTTCAGAACAACCTTCTGAAACAGGTTATTCCTTTACACTTGGCAGCACAGAGGGGAAGTAAAGTCACAGGGACAGTAAACGGTGGGACTGGGATTCCAATCCATGTGCCAAGCACTGACAGCCCAATTCTTTTTTCTAATTCTATTGATGTACAGTTGATATACAATGTTGTGTTAACTTCTGCTGTATAGCACAGTGATTCGGTCATGTGTGTGTGTGTGTGCATGCGTGCTTGCACGCGCACGTGTGCTAGGTCATTTCAGTCATCTCCAACTCTGTGCGACCCTATGGACTGTAGCCCGTCAGGCTCCTCTGTCCATGGGATTCCCCAGGCAAGAGTACTGGAGTGGGTTGCCCTCCTCCAGGGGATATTCCTGACCCAGGGATCAAATCCTTGTTTCTTATGTCTTCTGCATTGGCAGGTGGGTTCTTTACCACTAGTGCCACCTGTGAAGCCTATATATATATATCTCTCTCTAAAACATTTTCATTTTTATATTCTTTTCCATTCTGGTTTATCATGGGATATTGAATATAGTTCTTTGTGCTATACAGTAGGACCTTGTTGTTTATCCATCCCAAACTCCCATTCCTTCCTTCCTCTCCCCTACCCACCTCCCCCTGCCTTGGCCACCAAAAGTCTGTTCTCAATGTCTGTCAGTCTGTTTCTTTTTTGTAGTTATGCTCATTTGTGTTTTATTTTATATCCCACATACCATAGTGGTGTCATATGGTATTTGTCTTTCTCTTTCTAACTTACTTTGCTTGGTATTATAATCTCCAGGTCCATCCACATTGCTGCAAGTGGTATTATTGTGTTATTTCATTCTTTTTAATAGCTGAGTAATATTTCACTGTATAAATATACATCTTCTCCATTCATTTGTCAATGGACATTTAGGTTTTTCCATGTCTTGACTATTGTAAATAGTGCTGCTATGAATGTAGGGGTACATGTATCTTTTTAAATTATACTTTGTTTGGATATATGCACAGGAGTGGGATTGCTGTATCATATGGCAACTCTATTTTTAGCTTTTTTGAGGAGCCCCCATATGGCAGCCCAGTGCTTAATCACTATGCTATGCTTTCTTTATCAATTACTGAAAACATGTGCTGAATGAATGGGCAAATGAATAAATATCTGATACTACTCTCTATTAATTCAACTGGGATCTTATGTATTTTTTGACTTACCTATCTCCATTTAACACACACACATGTACACTCACCAATTTGTGAGACGTTCAGTGGGTGATGGGCCTTCCCAGGTGGGAAGAACACTAGTGGTAAAGAACCCACCTGCCAATGCAGGAGATTTAAGGCATGAAGGTTCGACCCCTGGGTCAGGAAGGTCCCTGGAGAAGGGCATGGCAACCCACTCCCGTATTCTTGCCTGGAGAATCCCATGGACAGAGGAGCCTGGCAGGCTAGGTCCATAGGGTGACAAAGAGTCAGACACGACTGAAGCGACTTAACATGCACACACACAGTGGGTGAGATCTTCATTACGTTTTTTTCTTCAATAGATTGAAAAGAGATAGCTTGAGATTTTTCATTCATCTTTGAGTTTTTTTGTTTTAGTTTGACGATTCTTTTGAGTTTAGCAATTAGAAAACACATTTTTAGAAACATGGAAATCCATTTTTGCTGGACTATGGATTTGCAGTTGAAATAAGAGAAATTTGCCAAATTTGAACCATACTTTGTTCCCTAAATGGTACTTAAGTATGTAGATTAAGAGAGATGGCATTGGTCATTCTACTGAGAGTTAAGTGTCTTTGCCTTTCTGTGTCAAATCAGATTTAGACTTCTTGACTTCTTGTTCAGTACTTAGGGCATTTTTACTCAGAAGCTTAAGGTGTCATGTCTGAGAAAAATGGTGCTGTCCATTCCTTTTTCCTGTGTCTGTTTGAATGCTTAGTAGTAGTAACTTCTGATAAAATTATGGACAGTGTCCATGATCAGAGTACACGAAAGGAACAGTTGCTCTGTGTTTTATGCCAAACCATTGCCTCTCACCTGACGTTCATAGCAGTACTAGGAAGTGGTTTACTTGAGAGTTTTTGTTAGAACCTGAGTGGCTTTGAGTCATTAATTATCCATTACCTTCTATATTGTAAAAGAAAGTGTGACATGACAGTCTCAGATGGTCGTGGAAAATGTGCCTAAAAGCTAATTCAGAATTATTGAAATGTGTTAAAGTGGATCATTAGAGTAGAAAACCAAAGCAACTGGAAGAAGATCCGTTGAAACTGTGGCAATTGATGTGGGCCTTGCCACAAAGGGAGGAGTTGGAGGTATGCCTTTGAGGGAGCCTGTATTCCTATTGGAAGGATGCAGCTCAGAGATGGAAAGCGAAGGGTGATAAGGGAAGTAGCAAATGGTTTGGTAAGCTATAGAAATATTTTAAAAAGAAAAGGATAGGCAAAGCCCTCCCATAATCAGCATCAACCTCCACACCCACTTCCTTCAAAAACATCTCCCCCCAAAATCAGACAGTATAGGTAAGAGCTAGCCATGCAAATGCAGCTGTTAGACAAATAGCCAGGCCTCCCATGAGTTTGAGCAAACTTCGGGAGATAGTGGAGGACAGGAAAGCCTGGCATGCTGCAGCCCATGGGGTCACAAAGAGTCAGACACAACTTAGCTACTGAACAACCACCACCACCCTGTCTCCCAGTAAGATCACCCACCTCGGGAGACATTCCTATATGAATGGATCACCTGTTTTCATCCAGAGAGTTGCTGGAATGGAAGGCATCCCATTCAGACATCCACTTTGAGGCTTTTTCTGTAGGGCAAATCCTTTCAGATGTTGCTTCTTAGTAAACATCAGCTGGTTTTTGCTGAAGGAACTAAACACAAGTATGATATCATTGATATCCGTGCAGTTGGCACTGACTTTAACTCAAAGTAAGTAGTGTTTGATCTTGGTGCCTATTGCATAGCAGATGTTCAGTAAGTTATTTTCTGCTTTTCCCACTTCTGTTTTTCAGTGTATTGCTGATTTAAAAGAAAAAAAAAAAAACTCTCTCATGTATTTTCCTTTGTTCTTTTTTAAAGGAGAGATTTAAAGAAGCTGAGGAAATATACCTGGCTGGAATAAAGAAATGCCCAGACAGCTCAGACTTACACAACAACTATGGAGTTTTCCTAGTTGATACTGGTGAGATTAAAGAGAACCTGTTGAGATGAGATAATACTATCTAACAAGTGAAGTGGCAATCCACCCAAATAATGCTTCAAAAGTAGAACTCACTGGGCTTGGCAGGAAACTCACACTGACAATCCCATTGTACTTGCTGTCAGTTTCCTAAATCTTCAGTCTCAGTTCGGTAAAATCTGCCCAGTTCTTATAATCAGATCATTCAGGGAAACTTCCCAGGTGGCCAAAAAGTGGCTTTGATGATTTAATGAGTAGCTGTCTCCTTTGAATAGCTTTTATACAAGTTGATAAATCTATAATGATGAACTGTTCTCTACAATGATGCAGAAACTGCCTCTGAATCAATTTACAGGCAGATGGTAAATACTTTTCTACAGCTGATTTAAAAGTCTCCAGAATTATTTCACCATTCCTTATGTGATACTAAGGAACTGTCCCATTATAATTGATATACTCTTATAGAACAGGTGCTATATAAAATATACTTGCTTTATCTCATTTAATGTAAAACTTTACTGGGCAGGGATCCTGCTTTCTTTATGATTTGCACTCCCACATACTGTTGACATGTGTTGAATACTTAGAAAGGATGAAAAGATACTTGAATTTAATACAAAAACACCACTTTGTTCTCATGAACTATTAGACTATCTTCCCTGCAATCAAATTCAATTTTAATTATTTTGTCGATATGAAATGCTCAAGAGGGTTTTTATTTTCTAGGATATTTGAAGCTCTTCTGTTCCATAGGACATAAATTTACATTCTGATATACCTAGGAAACATCCCTTATTTTTGCGTGTAAAACTGTTTCAAAATTGTTTCATGGTGCCACCTGCTGGTTCATTAGCAACATAATAATAAATTAGGTATAAAAAATTTTACAAAAAAGAAGAGACCTCCTGTTGGCCTGATCTAGCCCTCTTCCTTCTACTTCAACAACAAAATATCCCACCCCAACTCCAAACCCCCAAATCTCACTAACCACTGTATACCTTTCCACACTCCCACTATATTCATGCTTTTGTTCTGGTATTATTCTCCCTCTCACCTGTGACCTATACATAGACCCTTACACATGTAGAGGTGTTTTTTGGCACCTCCTGGTCAAACTTGCATTCAAAGAAGATAGACTTGAGAAGATGTCTGTGCAAGTAAACACACCATGTAGAACTTTAGACTATTCCACAATTCATTCACTTACATACAATTTTCATGAGGAAGCTTCTTTGGGGAATCTCATCATACCGGAGAGATTTGGTTCCAGTTCTGGCCTTTATCCTCACTTGCCCTGGGATTTTTGTTGAGTTTCTTAATGTCTTTGCACGTCTGCGTCTATATCTGTAAAGTGATAATAATTTTTAATATCATTTAAATCCCAAGAGGGAACTAAGTGCTGTCAAAAGACAGCTAAATAGGATCAAAGCATCTGCAAAAATCATATGAGGTTATTTCACTAAAAGGTTTTAAAATATACAAAGCATTGGACAAATGCAAGTTGGTATTATTATTATTAAAATCCCATTCAATAAATACCATCTAGACAAAAACATACTATTTAAAAAGATATTTTCAAAATACAGCAGCTGCCTGCTTATTTAAAGGAATGTCTCAGTTACTAGGTTGCAGTAGACTAATTGTAGTAGACCCTCAGAAGTTGCTTCAGGACAGTTTTCTTTCTATAATAGCACATTCTACTTTGAATATAATGAGAAGCAACAGTAGCTTGTGTAAATAACAATCACTGGTAATTTCAAAACATCCTATCAGCTATGGCAATAGCCAGAAAACACTTTGATGAAAATAATATATTTAATAAAAGAAAGAGGTTTTAAGTGAAAATGAATAGTGAAATGGCCCAAAGTTAGGTGGGGGCAAGAAGCCAAAATGTGTGCTAATTTACAAACTGAATAATTGATGGTATGGCTGTAAGAAAAATAATCATCACCAGAAGAGAAATTAAAGAGTTCATATGTTAAAAAGAAAGAAAAAGGGTCAGTCTGTTTTATAACTAAGGCATGATCTGCTCTTACCAACCTACCACTGGTTGCAGGCTTTCCAGAGAAGGCAGTGGCCCATTACCAACAAGCCATCAAACTTAGCCCAAGCCATCACGTGGCCATGGTGAACCTGGGGAGACTCTACAGGTCACTGGGAGACAACGGTGTGGCTGAAGAGTGGTACAAACGGTAAAGTTTCTATTTTTCACTTTGTAAGTCACCCAAAGCCCCTGCAGTTGGCCATCAAAGTCTTAGTTAATTGGAAGAGATTCTTTCAGAATGCTAGCAAATTTTGCCAATGCAGACAAAACAGATTCTCCTCTCCAGAGAACAGTACCATAAATGGCACTATGAGGATAAATGATATCCTGATTAATGACATTTTTGCCTGCTGGTTAACATATGGTGCTAAACCAAGTTTGGAGTTTAATTCTCATTTTAGTTAGTCCATTGTTTTCTGAAGCTATGGACTTAACAACCGAAACTACAAATAGCAATTTCAAAAATGGATCTAAATGAAAAACTGCATACATCCAAACAAGCCTGTCTCGGTGAATGGAAAAGATCCTTGGGGCTCAATTTACATATTGCTAGGTCACTAGAAACATTCTTATAGTCAGAGGATGGTACCATGATCTTTTTTTAAACATTCTGCTTGATATATATAAAAAAAAAGACCAGATTGGAGCAGAGTCTCAAACCATAGACAGTGGTCCCTGAATCTAAATTTCAACCTCTGGAAATGTACCTATTAGAAGAAAAATGTCCATTTGTTTTCTCAAAATTCAGTGCCCTGCAGGTGGCACGCAAAACTGAGATACTGTCGCCTCTGGGAGCGCTGTATTACAACACTGGCAGATACGGAGAGGCTTTGCAGACTTACCGGGAAGCCGTGGCCCTTCAGCCTTCCCAAAGGGAGCTCCGCCTGGCACTGGTGAGTAGACAGAGGAAAGAAAGGATGGAGAAGAGAAGAAATGCATGGCATGCAATACAGGGAGCTGTAGTTAGTAAGCCTCAGAAGGGGAACGAGAATGATATACTATATCCATTTAATGAATATTCACATAACCAGTGTTAGACCCATTCACCAGACACATGGACCCTAAAGACACTTTTATGTTTTTTTAAAAAAAATTATTTCAAACCTACAAAATTTTGCAAGAATTCTATATAGCATCCTCTAAATTATTTCACTCAGATTGATGAATTTTTAGCACTTTGATGCATTTATCACCCTCTCATGTATGTATTTATGTATGCATGTATACCTGTATGTATGTGTATATTTTGATATGTGTGTGCATATACATACAATTAATACATGTTATTTTTTTCCTGAGCGATGTGAGGTTATCGATCTCTTACTCTTTACTTCTCAGTGCTTCAGCATATAGTTTCTAAGAACAAGGATATTCTCTAATATAACCACAGAACAGTTAGGTATCAAATTTAGGAAAATTAATATTGACAATATTTTTTATTTCAATTTTGGGATCATTACTCTTCCTTTTCTTTAGATTTACAATAAAACAAACTTGTTTTCTTGTTTTAAACACAGTGTTCTGATGAGAACATAGGGAAAAATTTCTCTTTCACATAGTCACCTTTTTTTAAAAGGCACAAGTCATTTCATTGAATGACTTTGATGTTCCTGCCATGCATGCACAAATGCAGGCACATGCCTACATAAAGAAACAAATGACAGAAAACTAAAGCCTATTATTAATAACTGTGGTAAGTCAGCCCTCTCTGTGAGTCACAAATAGATGCTGAGCACTTTTGTGGGAAACGTTTCCTGAATGATTTCTTTGATAAGATGATAACCAAGTGCTATCTAAGCCCAGGTCTGTGTGGTTTTGTAGGCTCAGGTTTTGGCCGTGATGGGACAGACAAAAGAAGCTGAAAAGATGACCAGTCACATTGTGTCAGAGGAGACTGGGTGCCTTGAATGCTATCGCTTGCTGTCCGCCATCCACAGCAAGCAGGAGCAACACGCCAAGGTAGAGCACACTGTTTGGAATTGTTTGTGTTCATGGTACCTATCGGGTGTGGCTCAATGAGCCTCCAGTCTGCACCCTTACAAGGGCGAGCAGTCTTGAGCATTACCATTTGGCACTTTTCATAGATACCTACTTGATTGCTTAGATGACCCCTTGAAATGCTGTTTTCTTGGTTTGTTCTGGGTCTGAAGGTTTTATGTGGTGTCATCTCAGTTTGTTTTCAGCTAACTCAATAAAGACTAACACTGGTATGTTTTATAATTTTGCATGTTCCCTCAAATATATCTTATAGAATCCTTATAACAACCCTTTAAGGCATGTCAATGGCCCTGTGTTGCAACTGTTTATCTTCATTTTTAAGTCACATAACCAGTAGATTCATGAACTAATTCAACAAAATATTTATCAAATGGAAATAAAGTGGTGTTGGGAAAAAAAACCACAAAAATTATTGCCCTTGTCCTCCTGAGTTTACAGTCGAAGAGGAGACAAAGATTGAACAAGTAATCACAAAACCAGTGTAGAATTATTGTTGTGCCCAGCGATGTCGTGAAGAGCAGCCTGGTTGCTAACAAACATATCCAGGGAACCCGAGTAGTCTGGGCAGTCAGGTTCCCTCTAGAGTGACGTGAAGTTGAGGGTTGAGTGACAAATAGGAGTTATTAAACAAAAAAGGGCAGTGAATATCATTCCAAGCAAGAAAAATGACCCCGTCTGAGGGATGGGCTTGATGGATGGAGTAGGGGACATGCAAGATGTAACCACAGCAGTTGCTGGTCACTGTATCCTAAGGCTTGGGACCAGGACAAGGGATTTTTTCCTTATACTGCAAGAAGCTTTGAGGCTTTAAGGAGAAGAGAGGCTTGTCAGATTTGTGCTTTGAAGGGACCTCTGGCTGCAGGGGGTGGGGTAGTGGGTGCTGGGCGCAGAGTGAGCACCAGGCCCCAAGATGAGGCTGCTGGAGTGGTCCAGATGGACATGTGGCCAGGGTGAAACATCCAACCCCAGATGTTGTTTCTTTTCAACGGGATCACACAATGTTCCTGTAAAGTGATCAGGGATATTTCATTGTCACATAAATAGGAAACCTGGAGTATAGGGAAATTATTTGGTCAGGGCTGCATTATTCCTCAATGAGAACATCAGATAAAATGAAGAATGTGTTTTGATCACCACTCATCACACTAGCCAATACATAAAAACAAAAAGAATGGAAGATATTGTTTAAGTTGGTTTTTCTTTATCTAATCTACACTTATTGTGTCTTAACTTCCAACCTATACAGGCACTTGATGCTATAGACAAGGCTCTCAAGTTGAAACCAAAGGACCCAAAAGTTATATCTGAACTTTTTTTCACAAAAGGAAACCAACTGAGAGAGCAGAACCTCCTGGACAAAGCTTTTGAGGTATAAACACTTAATGAAATTGTTATTAAATACATGGATTAAAATTAATACTCTCTCAATCTTTAATGAAACATATACCTTGAAAGCAAGATCAATGGCATGTTTGTAGAGTGAATTTTCTGATTACTTGACATTGTAAGTTTATTTTTTTTAATAATTGAGCCTCTGGTGTTTGACTAGTAGGAGTTCTACAATACCTCTGCATTGTTTTCAGAATTATCACCTTTAGCTTGATGTTTAAAGCATTCCACATTTTGCCCCCAAGTAAGCTTTCCTCTCTCTCTCTCACTCTTTCACTGTCTGTTTGCCTTCAGTAACCCTCTGTTTCAGCTAGACTAGTGCCCCAAGGAGCTTTGGCATTCCACAGGTCACTGTCCACCCCATCCACCAGTCCCTGCGGAATCCCACTTATCTACCAACACAGGCCTGTGTCTCCCTCAGGAAGCCCTCCAGACCGTCCTTTCATCCAGTTACTTGTTTCCTATGAACTTCTAAAACACACTTCTGTCTCTATCAGTCATTTGAAAGCATTATTTATTGTGTTGTTAGATTTCTTTCTCTTCTCCATCTCCCCATCCTCTCCCCTCTGTGCACCTGCATGAGTGCTGGTTAGTTCCCTGTTTCGACTGCATTTTCCTTGTGGAAAGAACTGCTTCCTTCTGTGTTCTAAAACATAATATGTTGCATCTTAGAGGTGTTCAATGTGTGTATCTTTGGAATGAAACTGATAACCCACTTTGAAATAAAAAGACATTTACAAGCATAATGAAATGTTACAGAAATGCCGTATATTTTCCTCAATAAAGCCACAGGTTATAATTAATGAAGTCATACAATTATGCAAAAAAGTAAAATTTCAAATGATAAGATTGTTTTTGAAAATAAATAGTAAATGGCTTTTAAAATATTATTGGAAAAGCACATAAAGATATTTGGAGAAACTAATTTGAATGTGAATGTCAAAACAGAAATGGTGGCCTATTTGAGCAGAAACTGAATTCCTCTCTACCTTGTGAAACTTTCAATGCTCTTTCTTTGATTATTTATAACTTACATGATCGTTTGTGTGAGTATTTATATGGTATCTATATCTGTCTGTATTTTGTATGTGGTATTAAAAACAAAAGTATTTTCTAGTTACTTGACTAATGGATTAAATAGTCATTATGGCTTGATTTGTGAGTAGGAGTAAAGCCATTGGCCAATAATAGCAGCTACGATGTTAGCTTTTTAATGTATAATTCACACATATTAAGTAATTTAATCTTCACAACAATCATATAAGAAAGACATGCTCATTGTCTTCATTTTATGACTGAATTGAGACTTAGAGCTTTTCTAACTTATTCAAGGTCACACAGAGGACAGAAATAAACATTTTATTCTGCTGATAAAAATTAACACAAGACATACTCTTCAGTTTATTTTAGCAACTTTTTAGCAACACAGTTTCTTAACATTTGCTTCTTTATCCTCAAACTGAAGAGGAGTGATGGCCAGATTCTAGTTATTTATGGATCTGTTCAGGTAGATTCTTCTTCAGGAAAATAGCAAGGAACATTAATATATACACATGGATACTTAGCTTCATAATTGAAGACAGTACTCTTAGGCTTTAGTTTTATTTAAAGTGACAACTCTTAAAATCAAAGCTCAATGGTGAATATACCCTTTGATTCAAAACTACATGCAAAATGTTAAAAATGTACTTCACAGATATGACATTGTGATACATGTTATTCAGACAAAAATTATTTGAGAAACAAGTAACTATTCAAACACTTTAAGATCTTTCACAGGGCAGAAGAAAAACAAAGGCTTTCTAATGATTAAAACTATCCTCTGGTAAAAAATTATTAGATGTCATTAAAGAAATACAGAATACCAGTCCCTGTAAGAATTTAAGCATGGGCTGAATAATCAGATCAGATTTTGTGAGAGGGTTAAGCTGTTTAGGAAACAAAGATTCTGTGATTATATTTTTCTTGCAAAGTCCATTTACAGTGAAAAGGTCTAAGAGCACCATTTTCTCGCAGATCGAGGCCAGTGGGAAATGATGCATGTAATAGGAATCACCTGCATGCCTGGCAGGCATCTTCAGCCTCTTTAAGTCCAAAGGTTAGCTCTGCAAGGAAATTACACATTTCAGTTTCCTCCACTTTAGAATCATCAGCTTTGAAAAATAATAGAAAGAAAGGGAACACCTGAGAACTAGATATGACTGTTCATTTTATCAACCATTTAAATTTCCACATATGTAGAAAATGCTTTTGACAATCCTACAATGTTAAAGATGGGTTCTCGTTTCCCAGCCTGAAGATATTTCTTATGTATTTAGAGCTATAAAGCAGCCGTGGAGTTAAATCCAGATCAAGCACAGGCCTGGATGAACATGGGCGGAATTCAGCACATCAAGGTAAGAAAATTATTCCCATTCATGTGAATCGGGTTTTCCTTTGTGTTTTCTCTTTCTTCCCTTTAAAAGTTGGGAAAACTATTGTTAATTTCCTCTTTGAATTCTTTGAATACTGAAAACATAGGTGCTTAAAAGTGTTATTAGCAGGGTTTATGTTCACTTTATATTATCTAGACTTTGAATATCATGAAGCCCTTTTAAAAAACAAATCTATATAAATTAGATGTCATAATTTTATCATAAAGAAAATCATACATTAGGTATCATCATATAATAGATAAAGTCTGCTGTATGAACTAAAGTTTTGTTGGAGCTACACTAATACAGCTTATTTTTCTGTAGCTTAACTCACTGTCAAGACATGGGGTTATTCTTTCTTATACTTAGTGTATCATTTATTACCTGACATACTGAAAATCATGGTTGGTTGTTTGTTTTCAAGAGAAGCAGCTACCTTTGAGTTAATAACTGGAAGCTACCCTTGACAGGAAATCAAAGATTCATGGACGCTCATTCATCCATTCATTCATTTGATAAGCATTGCTAGAGAACATCCTATGTACCAGGTACATGTCTAGGTATTGGGAATAATGCAGTGAACACAAGGCAAAAATACCTGTTCTTGTGGAGCTAACATTCTAGTAGGGGAAAATAGGCAAAAACTAAATACATGTGTGTATGTGTGTGTGCATGCTCAGTCATGTCTGACTCTTTGCAACCACAGGGACTGTAGCCCACCAGGCTCTTCTGTTCATGGGATTCTCCAGGCAAGACTACTGAGTGGATTGCCATTTCCTGCTCCAGGGGATTTTTTCAACCCAGGAATCAAACCCACATCTCCAGCATTGGCAGGCGGATTCTTTACCACTGTGCCACCTGGGAAACCCACATATATACATATACACATGAAATATATCAGATAGTGAAAAGTGCTATAGAGAATAAAAGAATGAAAGAAGATAGCAAGTGCTGGGGGTAAAAGCTGAAATTTTAAATTGAGGTGGTTAGCGATGGCCTTAGTTAAAAAGTGGTGTTTCAACAAAGATCTGAATGGAGCAAGCCACATGGCAAAAGTAGGACAGTATACGTGCAGAGGTTCTGAGGTATGAGTATGCCAGTGAATCTGAAGAACAGGGAGGAGGCAGGTGAGAGGAAATGATAGAAGGCGGGGCAGAGAGGTCACAGGGACAGATGATGCAGGGCATTGAAGGAAGGGACTGTGAGGTCTTCAGCTCTTATGCCAAACAAGTTGGGATCCTTGGAGGACTTCGAGCAGAGAAATGCAATGGTATTACATGATTTTAAAGGATCACTCTTATTTAGCTAGCTTATTTTCAGGCTTCTCTCAACCTTTACCCCAACAAAATAGCAAGATGGTGATTATAATTTAAACAAAGGATAAATAGGGTTTATGATTAAGTGGGAACTGATCACTCCCAGAAACACAACAAAATAAAAATGTGATCCATAACTATACAGATGGAAGGGAATAATAGGATAGGATAGTCTGTAGCTATTAGCCTCAATCTAACAGAGGAACACAGGGCTTCCCAGGTGGCACCAGTGGTAAAGAATTCACCTGCCAACGCAGGAGATGCAAGAGACACAGATTTTATTTCTGGGTTGGCAATATTGCTTGGAGGAGGAAATGGCAACCCACTCCAGTGTTCTTGCCTGGGAAATCCCATTGAAAGAGGAGCCTCGAGGGCTACCATCCATGGGGTCGCAAAAAGTTGGACACAACTAAGCAACTAACACTTTCACTCAGTCCAATACAGATACATAGATCAGGCACATGGCTTGGATGTGGTCATTTTGATGTCACCATCAGGATGCAGGATTATCATCATGAGGCCTTCAAGAACAAACATTAACTTTCTGTGACCTTTGCCTTGACAGGAAATATGTGCCTCGAGCAGTATTATCCCAGTCCTGGGCCCTACTCCTTGCCTGAGTCTGGGTGAAGCTTAGGAAATACTGAGGGCTGAAGCAAGGTTGATAGTTGGAATAAACTTTGCAAGGAGATGACACAAACATAGGGAAGGAAAGACTTGCTCATACTATTGGCAATAAAAGATGATATTTTTCATAAATTTCTATTTAAAATGAAATGGATGAAGCAGAAAACCTATAATACATTTTTTATTACTGGAGTTTCCCTTGTGGTTCAGATGGTAAAGAAAGTACCTGTAATGCAGGAGACCTGGGTTTGATTCCTGGGTCGGGAAGATACCCTGGAGAAGGGAATGGCAATGCACTCCAATATTCTTGCCTGGAGAATTCCACAGATAGAGGAGCCTGGCAGGCTTCTGTCCATGGGGTTGAAAAGAGTCAGACGCGACTGAGTGACTAACACTTTCACTTTCATAATCAGAGCTCCGAAGAATAGCAAGGAGAGATAGGAAAGACATCCTAAGTGATCAGTGCAAAGAAATAAAGGAAAATAATAGAATGGGGAAGACTAGAGATCTCTTCAAAAAAATTAGAGATGCCAAGGGAACATTTCATGCAAAGATGATCACAATAAAGGACAGAAATAGTATGAACCTAACAGAAGCAGAAGATATTAAGAAGAGGTGGCAAGAATACACAGAACTATACAAAAAAGATCTTCATGACCCAGATAACCACAATGGTGTGATCACTCAACTAGAGACAGATATCCTGGAATGCAAAGTCAAGTGGACCTTAGGAAGCATCTCTACGAACAAAGATGGTGGAGGTGATGGAATTCCAACTGAGCTATTTCAAATCCTGAAAGATGATGCTGTGAAAGTGCTACACTCAATATGCCAACAAATTTGGAAAACTTAGCAGTGGCCACAGGACTGGAAAAGGTCAGTTTTCATTCCAACCCCAAAGAAAGGCAATGCTGAAAGAACGTTCAAACTACCACACAATTGCACTCATCTCATACGCTAGCAAAGGAATGCTCAAAATTCTCCAAGCCAGGCTTCAACAGTATGTGAACCATGAACTTCCAGATGTTCAAGCTGGATTTGGAAAAGGCAGAGGAACCAGAGATCAAATTGCCAACATCCACTGGTTTATAAAAAACCAAGAGAGTTCCAGAAAAACATCTACTTTTGCTTTACTGACTACACCAATGCCTTTGACTGTGTGGATCACAACAAACTGTGGAAAATTCTGAAAGAGATGGGAATATCAGACCACCTCACCTGCCTTCTGAGATATCTATATGCAGGTCAGGAAACAACAGTTAGAGCTGGACATGGAACAACGGACTGGTTCCAAATAGGGAAAGGAGTACGCAAGGCTGTATATTTGTCACCCTTCTTATTTATCTTATATGTAGAGTACATCATGCAAAATTCTGGGCTGAATGAAGCACAAGCTGGAATCAAGATTGCCGGGAGAAATATCAATAACCTCAGATATGCAGATGACACCACCCTTATGGCAGAAAGCGAAGAACTAAAGATCCTCTTGATGAAAGTGAAAGAGGAGAGTGAAAAAGTTGGCTTAAAACTCAACATTCAGAAAAACTAAGATCATGGCATCCAGTCCCATCACTTCATGGCAATTAGATCGGGAAACAATGGAAACAGTGAGAGACTTTATTTTCTTGGGCTCCAAAATCACTGCAAATGGTAACTGCAGTCATGAAATTAAAAGACACTTGCTCCTTGGAAGAAAAGCTATGACCACTCTAGACAGCACATTAAAAAGCAGAGACATTATTTTGCTGACAGAAGTCCATCTAGTCAAAGCTATGGTTTTTCCAGTAGTCACGTATGGATGTGTGAGCTGGGCTATAAAGAAAGCTGAGCGCTGAAGAATTGATGCTTTTGAACTTTGGTGTTGGAGAAGACTCTTGTGAGTACCTTGGACTGCAAGGAGATCAAACCAGTCAATCCTTAAGGAAATCAGTCCTGAATATTCATTGGAAGGACTGATGCTGTAGCTGAAGCTCCAATACTTTGGCCACCTGATGTGAAAAGCTGACTCACTGGAAAAGACCCTGATGCTGGGAAAGATTGAAGGCAGGAAGAGAAGGGGATGACAGAGGACGAGATGGTTGGATGGCATCACCAACTCGATGGCCATGAGTTTGAACAATCTCTAGGAATTGGCAATGGACAGGGAGCCCTGGCTTACTGCAGTCCATGGGGGTCACAAAGAGTCGGACACGACTGAGCCGCTGAACTGAACTGAACTGAACTGAATCAGAGTTGCACCAACTGGGCCAAATCACCAAGTACTATTTTCAATTCTGCCTTATGACATTAATGCATTTTCTAGGATGGAACTGGCTAATAGAACTTTCTTCAATGATGGAAATGCTCCATGTATGTACTGTCCAAGGCAGTAGTCACTAGCCCATTGTGGCTGCTGAGCACTTAAAATGTGGTTGGTGCAATTGAGCAACTCAATTCTTAATTAATCATCATTAACTTAAATTTAAATAGACACATGGGACTAGTGGCCTTCATAGTAGCTAGCACAGTTATAGAAATTGGATAATTCAAATTCCCCACCTAGCACCTTTAGAAATTGGGGACATTGAATTAAGGGATATAACTTTAAAAAGATTTCCAGTTCCATTATGAAAAGGGCAATTTGAGGGAGAGAAAATAACTCTATGACTAGATTTTGTTGAAAAGACAGAGAAAGCTGGTGATCCGAGATGGTGATGCCTGGTACCAGGCTGAGGCCTAAATACAGAGAAACCTCTTCGGCAAACAATTTCAAAATCAACCACAGTAAGAACACAGTTTGAGAGCAATCTGAGAGCCACAGATGTTCGGTTGTCTGCATATATGTGCTATGCTTAAGAAACGTCAAGAGGCAATCTGAAGATTAAATACTTGAATTTTGAAAAATAGTCATGTAGCTAAATCCAGGTTCTTATTTGTTCAGAATTCTGTTTAGCCTCTTATCAGAATCAGTGTTAATAATCTGAAATACTTTCATTTATGCACATGCCAGTGCCTAGATTCCCAATGTAGAATTACCTGTTCTGTGATTTTTACTCTCCTTTTCACCAATATGACAAGTGAATATCATAAGAAATAGTGTTTACTCATTTACACACAAAAAGTCATTTAATGGGCTTCCCAGGTAGTACTAGTGGTGAGGAACCTGACTGCCAATGCAGGAGACATAAGAGATGCAGCTTTGATCCCTGGGTTGGGAAGATCCCCTGGAGGAGGGCATGGCAACCCACTCCAGTATTCTTGCCTGGAAAATCCCATGGACATAGGAGACAGGCAGGCTACAGTCCCTAGGGATGCAAAGAGGCAGACACGACTAAAGCAACTTAACACACATACACACAGTCATTTATAATAACAGTAATGATGGCATCAGATTGAGTGCTCATTATATGGCAGGCAGGTGTCTAAGGTCCTGACACTCAGGAGGTAGTTCATTTAAGCATTCGATAAATATTGGTTGATATTGCTACCTAGTACTTTTACTCTAAGAGGTGCTATTTTAAGTTGTAATGAAAATTTAGAGAGTAACTGATCTTTATCCTCATGGAGCTGTAACTGAGAATAAAATGGAACAAATTCATGGTTTTTTAGAATGAAGAGATCTCTATCCATCTTAGTGCTAAGACTTGGCAGCACACAGATCTTAAAGAGAGTCAGCCATACAGAAGGAATACATTTAGTGGCAGAAAAGAATCTGGGAAAAAAGTTAATAATTCTGACTTGTCGTCAGGGACCTTCTGGGACCAGGCACATGTGGTTGCCAGTTAAACTGAAATATTTAATTTATTCAAAAACAAAACAGGTGGGGACCAATAGAGTGTGGAGGCAGGGGTCTTTAGCAGATCTGGAGCAACATGCCTTCTCTCCTACCTTTAGAGTATCCAGCAGACATATATGGTCACACACCTTGAGTATGGGATAAATTTGACTCCATATTATTTATTATCAGTTCTCTTCATTTTATAAAAACATATTTGCACTAAAGCCTGTATTAGGCAAAAGTTGCTTTTATGTTTTAAGGTGAAGATTAAAATATTTACTGTCATTAAGTAGGTATAATAGATTCCTAAACTATCTAGTTTTTAATCATTACTCTCGCAATCTTAAAAATATTTTTCTCTCACTCTCTCTCTCTCACACACCCCCCTTTCCCCAGACTCAACCTTCTCTTTCTTCCCTTCGCTCTAATTATGAATTTTCAGGGCTTTGGTTCCATTTGATTACCAAGGCATAGTGTTAACCCTATGAGAACACTGAGATGATAGCTTCATACACTGTATTAATAGAATTGAAAATCTGTTTTCCTGCCATTTAACCTTATGGCATAACCCATATCTTTCACATTCTCCATCTGGTCTGTTACTTAAACAAATGGATTCTCCAAGCGCACCAACAGATAAGGATGAAATTATACAAGCAGACAGGGTCTCCTTATGAGGACATTAATGTTAAAATGGGCCAGAAGGTCTGTTTCTTAGTCTCCCCATTCTTCAAGCAAGCATTCTGATGGATCAAAACATAATTATCCCTTTTCTTTTTCTCTGCAGGGAAACTACGTGTCTGCAAGAACTTATTATGAAAGAGCCTTACAGCTGGTTCCAGACAGCAAACTACTGCAGGAAAATCTCGCCAAACTGGATCGCCTTGAGAAAAGATTACAGGAAGTTCGAGAAAAGAACCAAACGTAGCAGCATTTGACCCAGTCTCAAGGGACGCTGCTGGTGTCTTTGGAAGAGGAAGAAGTGACGGAAGCTTTGCTTTCACCTCAGTTGGGCCATGACCAATGGCATTTTCCCTGTCACTCCGAGTTCAGGGTGACACATTTTGGGACACCTGCTGGTAACGCTGTGCTGGGGACTTGCGTTTCCATGAAAGAAGAAAAAAAGAGCCAGCAGGGGCTAGGAGACCTGAGATGGAAGGAAAACAGCAGCTGCACATTTTACAGAATTTTTTCTTGTTTTAATTGTAGATTTCCTTCCATATATGTGTCTGCTTTTTCAACCTGGAAATCTAATTCCATTTCTTGGTGTAGACATTTCTTGGTGTAGCCTCCCAGAAATAGAGGCTTGAAATGCTACAAAGGCATGGCATCTCTTTCTTTATGAGATGAGATATTTCAGAGAGGATAAATCCTCTGGGATAAACCATTTGGGAAATTCTTCCAAAAGGTAGCTCATTTAATTCTCTGAACTGGAAATGAGTATCTCACAGATTTTGTAAAAACCTTCTGGAATATATGGGGAAAGAGGCTGTTGTTAAGTCAGCTTTATCTTATATCCTTTTGAGGATATTGCTAGAGCAAGTTATACTATTGAGAAGTAAATTAAATTTCACTCTGATACAAGCTGTTTTCCCATTGCCTAATATATCAGTAAGGAAGTTTCTGGAATTGTGTATGGGTATTCATATTCCTATGGGAAAATCAAGGATCTTAGTACCCCGATTGTTTATGGAAATGTTTTAAATTATTTTAATTTTATTACAAGTATTATTGGAGTAGTGGTTCTGCTCTAAGATTTCATAAGTGCTTTTAAATATCATAAGTGTTTCCACCTCCAAATATATTGTTATTTTGGTGGAGAAAAAAATAGTATATTCTACATGAGAATTATTAAAGGTATTAATTGAGAGAAATGTTCTACTTTATTATCTTAACTTTCAGAGATTATTTTTTGAAAATATATTTAATCACTGAGGAATATTTACAGTATATTACAGAAATCTTCATAGACTCTAAATGGGTGTAAAGAAGCTCTATTGATTGATCTTCCTAGGCTTAATGAGAATTTTGTGCTTAAAACATGAATGCTAGAACCTGCAGTTCTTGGTTCCATGTTTGGAATTTTGGAGATTTCATGGAAAATGCTCCAAAAAATCTAGGAAAGAAAATCTAAATTCATAATTTTAAAATATATATATTTATATTTAAAAGGTATGGATGGCAAAGTTGAACTTACAATTTGACATTTGTCTTTTAGTGTTATTTATTTCATAACTTATAAAATATTTAATATATGCACACATTTTTCTCTGTACATAGTGGTTTTAGTAGCAGCTTTTACAACTGATCATACAAAAATTATAAATCTAAACTACAAAGTAATTAAGTTTCCACCGTCCCTCAAAAATTTTGTATTGATTATTCACTTGCTAAAGTTAAAGAAATTAGGAATCAGCCATCAGTGTTTGGGTGGTAATATATTTTGGAGTTGAAGAAATTGGAATATGTGATTCTAATTTGGTTTTCATCATAAACTTAAATAAAAACAAACAAAACCTACTCTGGATAGTGCTGTTCCTGGTGCTAAGCCAGGTGTCATACACATTTAGTAGCTTGAGGCACACGTATGTCACATGCTCCAGCCAGAGCAAGAAGCCTGCTGCCTCTTTTCAACCCCAGAAGCAGAAAGCACTGCCTCTGTGTTGTTATTATTACTTTTTGTCAAGGTAAATCTAGATAAAAGGAAAAAAAATTTCTTTGGAAAGGGATGATGCCAGGAATATTTTAAATACAAAGGATTATGGAATTTAAATTAGCATACATGTTTGTGTGTATCAGTAATCCAATAATGTATATATTAAAACTATGATCTTCTGTTTCTAATAGTCTTTAATGTTATAGATCATAAATGTATCTAAAATTTCATTTCAAATATTTTTAGTTCCCTAAATTATACTTCTGTAGTCCTAAGGTCAAGAAATGTACTATAATATTTATTATAAAATAACTACTCCACCCCCCAAATTAAAAACATGGAACCCTAGCTAAAAACAATATCTAGTACTTTAATTACAAACTTTTTAGAATAATCAGTAACAAAAATTTATACTTAGAAAGTTAATGGAAAAGATCAAGCCCCAAATTTTGAAAAGCAATTATGCCTTATCTGAAGGGCTGCTAAAGATAAGAGAGTACATTTGTTGGAATAATTGCAATGGCTATTACAGCCTAAAAGTTTCTGAGAGAAAAGGGTCATGTGGCCTTCAGGAGACTTTTTTTGCCTTCTTTTGGATGCATTTCTCTCTCCCCATCTGTCTCTGTTTTCTGTCTCGTGTCTCTCTCTCTCCCCTTCCCTTCCCCTCTCCCCCCAACAACCCCTTCCATCTCTCTCCCTCCCTCTCTTTGTCTTTCTCACTCTGTCACTGTCTCATTCTGTCTGCGCACACTGGCATCTCTTTGAACATTAGAAGTAAGCACTTCTTGTTGGATCAGGTATTTCTGTCCCGAGTTAATACTTTCACTTAGATGTGGCCAGTGAAATAGCTTTCATAGTTGCATGGTACCTATAAAAAAGTAAATCACACATTATTTTTCAAAGATATTAAGTGTATTTTATAACTGTTTTTATTTGCTCTTATAACATGAAATATTATGTGGAACTCATCCTTATCAAAATAAGAATGGGGTGCCCTGGCTAGTCATGGAGTTCATCCGGGTTCCCTTAACACAAGCTGGCTTGGCTATGAGTTCGTAGCCTCTTTCCGAGATGGAACTTCAGAGCCAGCTTGGTGGACATGCAGTCTCTGCAGGCCTCAGGGTCTTGCGCTCAGATGCACCATGTGCTTGGCTGGGTGCTCTGCTTGAAATTCTTAGTAATTTTTTAACAAAGGGTCATACAATTCTATTTTGCCCAGGACAGAAAGGAACATCAAACAAGGCTGGAGTTGGTTCAGTCTATCTAACCTGTCCATCTGTCCTGCATAGAACCAGTTCTGCTTGCCTTCAGATTCTCCAGTAAGTGGCAGCCCTTTCACAAGCCCTTTAACATAGAAGCCACCAGAATGGCTTTACAAATTTATGTTAACCTTAAGGATTATTCAGGATTTTAAAGCTGACTCATGTTTTCAACCTGTTAATGGTATTCATGAAATATGGTTCATTGATTAACTGTAGCGAACTAAACCAAAGATTCAAATGCCTTGAAGGAAAGGAAATTTTATTTTAGGGACTCCTGAGATATATTCTTTTAGGTCTGTTTATTTTAAAGCCCATCACAAAACAAAGAGGATTGTCAGCACTTGGATTCCAGCTCCCCACAGCACTTCACAGCCCCCAGTGTAGGCGTCTGACGTGCCTAACACGTAGGACCTTATTCGGTGTAGGGGTTTGCAGTGGTGGTGCAGCTGCTTTTCAGCAAGGCTAAATGAGAAAATGCAAAGCTTTGCACACAAACCGACTTGAAAAACTAATTTGAGGAGGAGTAAAAAGCAAATGTGGGTTTCACACTGTTTCTTTCAAACCTTCCAAGCCCCTCAAATTAAAACGCCACATTCAGCTGACAGCTGAGATCTCACACCTCACACACAGGTGCTCTAGGCTCTAGTGGACTTGAAAATAACCATGCGCACTTTGGGAATCACTGGACCTCGGCCACTCAGTTTGAGATTCTGATATGCAGCCAGGCTGGAGAACCACTGCAGGCTTTAATAAGAGTTTTAACCTTTTAACCTTTAATAAGAGTTTATGACTTTTACCAGGAGATGTTTACAGTCTTACAATTTTCACTTTTAAATTTAGACTAAAGTGAGCCAAAGAATTTCAAAGAATGACTTAACAGCACAATTGGTTAGTTGAAGCTGCCATGCCAAGATTGACAAACAGGTGGGTTGGCTGAGGTGGTTTTGCATTTGTGGCAACAGGACAATAATTTGATCTTATATTTACAGAACTCTTGGTTCTCAGATGGCAAATGGCCCTGCTACTTTCATGTACCAGATGAGGAGTCCAGTATATAAAACTCATATTTTGTTATGGCTCATAGAAGGGTCCATGACATAAGTTTATGCCTACACCTATATCTCTTTTTTTAAGTTACACGTCAACTTTTGTTAATTATTTCTTAATTGTACTCATTACAATAAGCTTTTAAAATGTTTTTCTCTGATTTGTGATAGATTTGTACCTTAGATCAATAAATCTATAGGTTATATAGTAACAGCATTCAAAGCAAATGTAGTTATAGGCATTTGTTTAATTTTTTCATAGCTTCCAAATCACATTTACTTTGATAAAAGAGTATGTTGGTATTTCCCATTAATAACAACAAAAACAACTATCTAAATGGCATCTTTTGACATTTTAAAAGAGTTTTAAAAAAAAACCTGTCAAATCTTATGTTTAGGCTACAATTGAATAAGATAAAAACTTACAATGCCAAAAATGTAGGGAAATATAACTTTGTATGATTATTCTTAAAGTTTTTGATGTGACAAGTATGTTGAGCAATCCTTACAAAAATAGCACTTCCTTATTTTTGTCTGTTAGTAGCCACATAACTTAAAGAAAACAAATGAAATAACTTCAATCAAGCGGTTTATTATCAGTAAAATATAATGTCACAACAGAATTGGTATCTATCAATTGGCTCATATAAAAATGTTCTAATTTTATCACCAAGGATCCTTTCCATAAAAACTTTTAGGGCACATAACTGGTAAAATTAGCATCATCACAATATGGGGTCATTATTAGTTTGTAAGTTTAGATCAACATTTGCCACAAGCTAAACAGAGCTCTCTACGTCCAGAAATCCAGGACATTTTTTCCCATTCTCAGTGCTGCACATGTGTATTTGTATCACGTTGGATACGAGTAATACAAATGTGCATAATGTCCTTTTGGGGTTGTCTTGCTGCTCCATAGAAGGGGAGACCCAATCCAAGAAGCTGGAGATCTGGAATCTAGTCCTGCTCCAAGGAGTTGCCTCACCCGGGACAAGTTACCAATTGTCTCAGTTACGTTTACCATACATTAAAGGAGTGGTTAATTCTATGGACCTATCAAGCTCTGTGAGTCCCCCGAATCCAAATAGAAAGCCCACTGAGAGGTAACTGTTGAGTGTGGCTCTTAGTTTTAGAAATTCTTAAGATAATTATTGCAGCAAAACACAGAACCCTATAAGTGACTGAACTGCCCGTATACTTTAATGTGACAGAGCTAAATACTCCTGTTTTGCAGTCTCCATTCCCTTCTCCAGGGGATCATCCCTGGGTCAGGAGGATCTCCTGGAGAAGGAAATGGCAACCCATTCCAGTACTCTTGCCTGCAGAATTCCATGCACAGAGCCTGGCAGGCTACAGTCCATGGGATCACAAAGAGTTGAACACAACTGAGTGACTAACACTTTCACACGTAAAAATTAGCGATTTTGTTGTGTTTCTGGGGAAAAAAAAATATTTTTAAATTTCCTCCAAAGGCATTAAAGTATTTGTAGAAACCATGGCCTGCTTTTATAATGTGGAAATCAGCTGACTTGCTGTGACTCACCCATCCTTCCTTTTGTTAGATGGAAATACTTGTATCATGTTTTTCAGATTGCTTTGATCAGTTGTATATAAATGTACATTTTTGTTACTTTTGCTGTGCCAGTTAGAAATATATCTCCCATAAAGGATTTCTCCCATTTAAGTCTGATTGTGTACACTTTGCCTAGGTCTTTCCAAAATAAAATTTATGTAAATGTATATTTTATATAAAATATGATGAAAATAATTAAGTCTGGTTTCAATCTCTCAAGTGGTCTGTGGTTAGTACCCACTAAAATTTATGTCACCATTAGGTGCCCACTTTTAAAATAAAAAATACCATCTTTCTTCCTTTCCCCCATCATTCATTCATCACATTGTTCTGTGTGCGCTGTGCCTGCTGTCCTTTTCATGCCACACAATGACCATTTCAGTACTTACCCATTCCAGATACCCTCCCCTCATCTTACTGAGGAGATGCCTTCACCTCTTTCTTCATGGTGTAAATACAAAGTAGAAAACAGATACTTCCTCAGTATCCTGGACTCTGCAAACTTACCTGCATCTAATTCTCCCCTCTCTCCTGTTGCTACAATGGAAAAAGAGGATCCTGGGCCCTGGATATCACTTTTTTAACCGCTTTCTTTTTCTTCTTTAACTTCTTCCTTTTGCTGGCTCTTGTCAATTCAGTTCTATTTTAAAACACGGATACTGGTAGCCACCATGAAGATCTCTTGGAAGAAACCTTTCCTTTATTCCTTTTCATCTCTAGCTACTACCACATCTCTTTATCTCCTTCACAGCCAAACTATCAGAATAAATTGTCTCCACTCATTCTATCTCCGTCCTTCACATTCTGTCTGCATCCTAGTGAAATCTGTGCCTGCAACAAATTCAAAGGAAATTGCTGTTTCTAATGTCACCAATGATCACTTTACTGCCCATTCCTAGGCCTTGTGGGACTTGGGAGAGGGTTCTAGTTCTAGAGTTTGGACCAGTGTTTTAGTGGGGATGGAAAAACTTATTTTTTAAACACGATATTATGTACCCATGGTTTACTTATTGGTCCTGGGTTAAACTCCTAACACTCCTAATTTTTCCACTATCCTTAAAATTGGGGCATCCATCAAGTGTCCTGGAAGGCCTCCAGTAGCAGATCACGATTATGCTGCCCTAATGAAATTATGTTCAAATTCAAGGCAGGTTTCTCAATCCAATTTGGGATAGTCCAGCTCACTCTGCTTGACATCCTTTCCTTTTCTATAGTTTTGTGGTTTTTCTTTAAATAAGAGAATACTTCCATTTCAGCATCACCACAAACTCAATTTATATTTAAACCATCATCTTACTAGCAAATTTACATCTGAAACTAATGACTTGGCTTTTGATATATATGCAATTCACAATGAGTGATTCTTTTTCTATTTAATGGAAAGGTATTATTTTTTTTAGGCCTGTAAGGGAACAATCCTCTGTATTAGAAGGACAAGGTCTCACTTAAGGCTGGGAGTTTGAACTCTGGAAACAAAGGGAGCTGTGCTGTAACAGGAAATGATGTTTCATGGAAACATGGAACCCCATGGAAACTTCAGGTCTGAAACAAAACACAAATGATCCTGCAAAGCTGTGTGTGTACCATGTATACAAGACTGCAAGGAGACATGGTTTCTGAGCTTCATGAGAAAGTTAGCCATGAATTTGAACATTGTGTATCCAACTTGCATTTTTCCTTTCCTTCTCTCTCATTTTGTAAGAGTTTTGTAGTAGCTTTAATATGACGCTCTCTTGCTAAGAAAAAAGAGGAGTTTGGGTCCATTTGGAGGATCTGAGCTTTTTTGGAGAGTAGTGAGTCCCTGAAGCCACAAATGGCTATGGTAATACTTGCGGGATTCCTATAGTAAAAGCGAAACTCAGAGATAAGCGTGTTGAGGGCTACTGCCTGGAGATTCCCTGGAGAACTCAGGTGTAGTTGTACATATTCAGGAAAGAGCTGTTTACCTTACCAAGCCCCCTCCCGGTGTTGCCTCAACACTCAAGCTCAAAACCCAGGAGTCATCTACTCAAACTGTCATCCAAGGTGTGTTTGCTTAAAACGATGCTACTCTCAAAAACCATTCAGTCCAACAGAACTATATGATGATGACAGTGTTTTGTATCCATGCTGTCCAATATGGTAGCCACTAGCTACAGGTGGCTGGTGAGCACTTAAGGTATAGCTAGTGTGACTGAGGAACTCAATTTTTATTTTAGCTAATATTAATTTGAATAACCACATATGGCTAGTGTCTATTGAATCGTGCAGCTCTCGAGCTTTTCGGTGGTCTAAGACTTGAAATATAAAGGTCACAGAAACTCCTTTCAGGTTCATGAAACAAAAAGGTTTGAGATGGTATGTCTAAGTTTGGGTGCCAATCCCATTCTTTGAGCTTTTTGCCCAAGGTTCCCACTTCACCTTCTGCTGCTTCTTCCCTCAGCTGTCACCTGCCCGTCCCTGTATCTGCATTCCCTCCACTTTGACCATCTCTTTTCCTGTCCTTCTGTCTACCACGTGTCTCCCTAATTTGTTTACCCTTCTACCTCAAGGAGCTTTTATTTCTATTTTATACAGAGGTGAGACAATTGGGCCTGGGTGTCTAGGTTAGTTAACATATATATAGTGTTCACTTAACTCTGTCCTCATTTTTTGATAAATTATAAATCAATGACAAATTCTAGCTTAATTCCTCTTCCAACCTCAAGCTATTTTGTTACAAATTATTTACCAGAAAATAATGTTGATTGAAAAAAATGCTGACATGCCAGTGAATTCATTTTAATAATCTTAAATGCTGGATCCTACAGCTTTGGTCCATTCCACTACAGCTGATAACACTGACACCCAGAAAAGGAATAGGGCAGAAACCTGATGGTTCATATCCAGTCCTTTTGAAAACTCGGGAGTGTCAAGGTCTTCAACGAGCTTCTTAGAAGCTGGGTGGGATCTTTAATACACAAACTTCCAAGAGTCTTCCTCCTTTCAGGGTCAGCCTGCCTGTGTCCTGCATGGGTACCCAGCTTCCTTGACCCTGGGACTTGGGCCACATTCCCTGACTGGGAACAGAAATCACCCGCGCAGAGCATTCTAGGCCATTGATCCCCTTGGTCCCGCATCTGTCCTAGCATCTCCTGCATCTGACTCTGGCTCGCCTGCAAGGTTACCTCGCTCCTGTCTGCAGGGGTGGATGGCGGGGACGCGATGACACCTGGGTGTCCGGAGAGCAGCTGCGGCTGGGCTGGTCCTGAGGAGGGACACCTGTGCGCCCCCCACCCACCCTGCTCCCGGCTCGGAAGGACGGAGTGATGCAGGCGGGCGCTTCCGGGAGCTCAGAGCTGTGAGGCCAGAGCGCTTCTCTTCGCGGGTTCGCAGCGCCTGCGTCTGGCGAAGATGGACGGGTCGCCGCGCGAGGGAGCCCTGCGGGCATTGCCCGGGGCTGGCTCGCTCCTGCTGCTGCTGCTGCTGCTGCTGGCGGTCCACTCCCCGCCCAGCCGAGGTGAGCCGCGTCCTGGGCGCCTTCATTACTCCCCGGGCCCACAAAGACATCCCAGATGTGCCCACGAGGTGCCTGGGCCGAATTTTCTTCTGAAATCCTTTAGATTCTGGAGTTCAAGTTTTTAGGCACATCTGTTAAGCTTGCTTGTGCTAAAGATCTTCCTCCAAGGAAAGATAACCAAGTGGAAGTAACTTAAAACCCAGTGATTCTGTTTCAGAGCAGCGTATGTTCTCCAATACCTTTCATTCCCCCTAAATTCTGCCATGCTTACCCTCCCAGGGAAAGCCCCAAATCTCTCCCAGAGGGAGAGGGGCCTCGTTCAGTTTTTGTTGAGGCAGCTCAGGTTGCAGAGGGCAGGGAGAGTCGCCAGGAAACAGAGGGCAGGGAGAGTCGCCAGGAAACTGCTAGTCAGTGAGGTGTGAGTGGGGCAGTTTCAGGTCGGGGATATTTTGAGAAAATGGGGTAACCTCCAGCTGAGTGAACATTGGCACTGACAGAATAAAACCCCAGAATGGAAGTCTTGATACAATGAACCCTGACATGAGGAGCTGTGTGTGTGTGTGTGTGACACATATGCTCTCCCACACAGGACTGAAGTACAGAATTCATGCAGTTAATTTGAAAAGTATAGAAACTGTCTTGGAATCTGGGTTCTTCTCTAGAAGTAGTAGTTGGAGAAGTTCAACAGTTGGTGGACACCCATGGCAGGTGAGTGTGATAAAGACATTGATTTCTTAATGAGCTAAAGGTGAATTATTTCCCTATTTTTAGATACCATAACTCCAGCTTAACAGTTAATTTTTCTATGGACCCCCACTTGACCTCACTGTCAAAAAGTTTGCTTCATAAGAAATCTCTTACTAACCAATTTATTGAATGTATCAGTATCTTAATGTGACATCATATTAGAAGAGTTGATTTCAAATGTTTCTGAAGGAGATGACATCTATGTGGAGATGTATATCAGTTGTGTTCCTAACTTTTTTCTTGGGCAGGTGTCCCTGAAATTAGGTGGACACCACTTCTGTGGAGGAAGTTTGATTCAAGATGATCTGGTTGTTACAGCGGCACATTGCCTGATTAGCCTCAATGAGTAAGTTGTGGATTTCCATTATTTATTAAACCTTGATCCATGGCAATTGGACTAGGAGATTCAATACCCTAAATACCATGCAGGGTTCAACCTTAGTCCCTTTCTTAATTTTTTCCATCTGGTCCACCTGCTGACTGACTTTCTGATTCCCAGACACGTGTGTAGCCCAAGATTTCTTGTGCTTTCTACTCTACTAATCAGAGACCTCAAAGATTCCACACATAACCTATGATTTATAGAGTTAGTGGAGGGTGGGTTGATGGTTACTGATTCTAATAAAGTATTAATATCAAATGTTAAATGGATGAGCCAATGTTTTAATAATCTACTTTTCAGTAATTAGAAGGGAAAAATAATATTAAAAGAGAGTGCTAATAGGAGAAAAAGAAGGACAGTAGGAACAACTTTTATATCTTGTTTAAAATGGTAGAACACATATATAGAGAGAGATTGGTTTATGTACAAAAGATATCTGAATATTTTATGCAGAAAGATGAGTGACAATAGGAGAAAGAGTTCCCAGAATGTAAACACTCCATGATTGAAAACCATGACTTTTTATAGATAGCTACAATTTATAGAAATTATAGCAATAGTAATAATCACTAATAAAAGTACATCTTCTTTTAAGATTTGGAAATCCCTAAAGATACATTAATCATGTTAATTACATGAAATCAAGACAGTCTTTCATGGAGGAAAGGATTATACTTACTGAATGATTTCTGTTTGGTTTTAGGAAGCAAATTAAGAGTCTGACAGTGACTGCTGGGGAGTACAACCTCTTGCAGAAGGATAAGGAGGAACAGAATATTCCTGTCTCAAAAATTATCATCCATCCTGAATACAACAGACTTGGGTATATGAGTTTTAATATTGCACTGCTGTATCTAAAACTCAAAGTCAAGTTTGGTAAGTAGGGAGAGTTAGAATTCAAAAGATGTAATGGAAAAAGCTATATTTATTGATTTTTACCAGTTAACTTTCTGTGTGTATATATATATATATCTAGTAATATTAGAACAGCTAAATTTTGTTCCTTAAAAATAATTTTGTTTAATCTATAGCCTGTAAAAAGTACTGCACAGGCTATAAGTACCAGCCACAACTTATATATGCTTAATCAGCATTTTAAGTACTCCAGTGTCTTATCTGGGCAATATTCTAGACCATCTACCTGTACTCATCTCTAACCAAGGAGTATGGAACATTTGAAAATGTCCTCAGATTTCTCCTTTCTATCATTATTATGGACAAGATATTTGACACCATTCTCAGTACAGATAATCTAAGCATTCTGGACAAAATATTAAAAGCCTACTTTAAAAAAAATACAGGAAAGGGAAGTGTTCAGTGACCAAAAACAATGAAAGAACAAATTCAAAGAGTTAGCCAGACACTGAAGTTAAGGGACTGCCATTGAAGCATCTAAATGATCTTCAAGAACCTATAACCTTAACTATCTTTGCAAGGAGCCTACGTGGGAATAGGATGTGGAAGCAGAGAGTCTGATTGGAACCTCCCATGTATGTAACCTGGGACTTCTTGAAAGGTGATACTTTAAAAGATGGAGGGAAAGAGACAGGAAAATATGCCACATAGAGTGAGGGAATAAGGAAAATTTACCTGCTTGAACCTTGGCCCTGGATGGAGGGCTCTCAGAAATATCTATTTTCCTGAGCTAGCCTTCATTCAGATTTGAAGCTGGCATTCACATTACCTGTCCCCAAAACTCTAAGCCAAGATTTTAAAGTTGTTCCAGGTGAGTAATTGGGTTTCTGGCAGAAGCAAAGGTAGTAAATTCTCTTTGAAGACATAAACCTTAAATCTCAGCTTGAATGTACTCCCATAAAGCTTTAATGATTGAGAGCACACACAATTAAAAGCATGCAGAGAAAGTTGCTTGCAGAGAAAGCACCAGAGTCCAAAGTAACATCAACCAGAATCAGACATTCCAAGATTACAGATGTTAAAATGATATACATACTACAAAGTAAGTTTTAAGTTTAAATAAGTAAAGTCTATCAAAAATGACTAAAGAACAAGAAAATATTAACTGAAAAGGAAGACTTGAAATGGAGTCAATAAAACTTAAAGATAAGAACATAGTTGGAATTGGTAACAATAGCTGAATTAAATAGAGACATTGACCTTACTCATTGCTCATTCTTCTTTCACTCACACTCAATATTGAATCCATCAGAAAAATTCTGTTGCTTCTGTCTCACCCTCTCCTCTCCTACATCCTGCTACAAGCTCCCATCATTTCTTGCCTGGGTCAATTTGAACGGTCTCTTGAATCATCTCCAACTTCTCTCTTGCATCCCTAGTTTTTATTATTAACCCAGCAGCCAGAATAATACTTTTGAAATGTCAATCAGATTATATTACTTTGCTCAAAACACTTCAGTGGTTCTCCTTTACACTCAGATGCAAATCAGTGTTCTTAGCTTCTTAGCTGACATCACCCAGCATCCTAACCCTGTAGCCAACCTCTTTTTTTGTTCATTTTTTACTAGAATTTCTTTTGTTTAGTCTGCTCCAGACATCCTAGAATCCTCACTGTTCCTCAGACATATATGACATGATGTCACTGCAGGAAATTTCCATTTTGTTTTTTTCTTCTTCAGATACTTTCCACGGAGATGACTGCCTGATTTCTTCCTTCAGCTTCTTCAAGGCTCTGTTCAATGGAACTTGGCATGACTGCCATTTTACAAATTGCATCTCCCTTGCCATATTCCCTAATCCCCAGACTTCTCATCTTTCTTATGCTTTCCTGATTTTTTGGAAAAATCAGAGCACATATTACCTAATAGCTAAATTATTAGATTTATTGCTTGTATTTCACCCCAAACTCACTCACTCTCTCTCACTCACACTCACTCATGCTCAGATCTACATTCTGTCAGGGCAGGAATTTTTCCTGGTCATTTACTGAGGGCTAGAAGACCACTTGCCACCTGACAGTGCTCAATTACTTGAGTGAAAAACTATCCCTTAAGAACAAGTGAAGTGAAATGAAAATTTCTCAGTTGTGTCTGACTCTTTGCAACCCCATGGACTATACAGTCCATGAAATTCTCCAGGCCAGAATATTGGAGTGGGTAACCTTTCCCTTCTCCAGGGGATCTTCCCAACCCAGGGATTGAACCCAGGTCTCCCACATTGCAGGTGGATTCTTAACCAGCTGAGCCACTAGGAAGCCCAAGAATACTGGCGTGGTTAGCCTATCCTTTCTCCAGATGATCTTCCTGGCCTAAGAATCAAATTGGGGTTTCCCTCATTGAAGGCAGATCCTTTACCAACTGAGCTATGAGGGAAGCCCCTTAAGAACAAGGTCACATCCTAAAATGCTGGTAGTTGGGGAAGGTCATTTTGGTACTTTTAACAGTGAGTTGTTTTCCTTTATTTGCACTTTTTAAATTTCTATATATATGGGATAGTTCTTTTGAGAGAGAAAAAACCTTTAAAATATTGTTAATTACATTTAGGAAGAAACTGTAGAAGCTATGATGTCAACCAGATGTCAGTTTCCAAATATATTTAGGATCACTTGTCTGTGACTTATGATTTTTTTGTTATTGTTGTTTTTTTCAGGAACTACTGTTCAGCCAATCTGTATTCCCCATAGAGATGATAAATTTGAAGAAGGGACTCTTTGCACGGCCAGTGGATGGGGCAAGACTTCAGAGAGTAAGAGACATCAAAAGAATGTAATATTTCTTCTAGGCTTATTTACATGCCCATTGGAATCAGGAATTTTGTTGGTCTTAAATAATACATTTATCCTTGTTTTATTCTCTCTGCGTTCTAACCCAGGGAAGACTTCTGGTTGTCTTCACCAAAAAAAGGCTATACTTAAGGCTCTACATAAAATTCCTCCTGCTGCCATTTTGGTTAGGTGTATCAGGGTCAGGAACAGGAAGTAAATATAATAGTTGAAGAAGAATACAGTAAAGTAACAATAGTTCAGCTTCCTTATCTTTGGTATTGTGATTTTTAAAAAGCAAAGAACATTACAAAATATCACTTTTACTGACTAAAGTTTTCCTCTTGAGGAAACATTTAAACATATATTCAGAGAAGCTACAATTGCCTATGTTACATTAAAAATCTGATTTTAAAAAGCCCTTTGTCACTAGTGTAAGATTTTAGGGAAAAGTATCATTCAGAGCTATAAAAAAAATCACTTCTACATTTTGGTTAAACATCTACCAATTCTAAACTTGTAAGCTTCTTGTTGGTTTCTTTAAGTGGGGACAGTTGTTGACCAACTTACCAGTCCCTTCTCCACAGCATCAGAATATTCAAATATCCTACAAGAAGTGGAAGTTCCCATCATGGATGACAGAACATGTGGTACCCTGCTCAGGGTTATGAACCTTCCTCCCCTGGGAAGGGATGTGTTGTGCGCCAGTTTTCCTGATGGGGCAAAGGATGCCTGCCAGGTAATAAGCATTGTTGTTGCTCAGTTGCCCAGTCATGTCCAGCTCTTTGTGATCCTATGACTGCAGCACACTAGTCCTCCTAGCATAAACCAGTCCCGTTTTTTTATTCAGCCACTATCACATGGGTGAGAGTGGCTTCTAGGCTGCTTTTGAGGGGTTACTTCTTTAAGATTTCACTCTTCCCTCATCCTTCCATCTTATTTCCACTGAAAAACTTTCCTTGACCAGAGCTGAGAGAATTATTTTCTGTCCCATGTGCATTATTACCCCTTGTACTTCCTTGTGGGGGAGTGAAGAGGTCAGGCAGGGAAGATGGTTTCAACATTCCCAGCCTAACAAAATCAAACAAGATGACCACTTTGGCAAATGAATTCGGCTAGCTGTGATTATTTCTCATTCTACCTTTTGTTAAACATTTTAACTTTTCTCAAGCTTTAGTGAGGAATGCAATGTTTATACAGAGTTTGACCAAAGATAGCATAGCTACAGTAACTGTGGAGTAAAAGATGTTGTATATGGCAACATTCTAAGGCCAACACAACAACTCCACAAAGAAAACCAACTCTGACAAGAAAGGAAAGGGGTGCCAGTTTGTGATAGATGTGAATTTTAAGTTTTAATTATAATTGTTTTTCTTAAAATGGAGGAGCAGGGAGTCTTTATTCTTTGCCAACAAGCAGCTTGAAACTGCCATGGGGAGCTCTCTAAAATTTTCTGTTAGGAAAATGTTTAATTTTTCTTCTAGGGGGTGACAGAATAAGGGCCAGGAAGAGTTTGGTAGGAAGGAGATAGAAATTTACAATTATTCTGCTTTCTAAATTGGAATGTAGGTAGACTTACTGTCTCATCCTTCACAGGTAAGTATTTTCTGGATAAAGTTGTCAAACAATTCTGTGCCTTTTGAGGGGTTTCAATCTGATACCAATTGGCATGTGTTTTCAAAGCAGCACATTGTTATGAAGAATTATTAAAGAAAAGATCCTGAAAGTGTGGCTCCTTTATCCTCTAGTGTGAGAGCCAATGGATCCTTTATATATAGCCCCGGCACAAAATAAGTTTCCCAAGCATTCTGTTTTAAAATCCTTGAGCCATTGCGTGAACTTGGGTACTCTATTCACTGGTACTGTGGGCTTGGAATGTGATCCAGTCTTCCCTAGAATGCTATAGTGGAAGCATTATCTGTGAACTATCTAAGCATTTATCTGTGAACTCCCCCTCCTTCTTCCATTGATTTTGAATTGTTCTCAAAAAACTAGGAGGAAGAGAGAAATTAAGGGTTAGCTTGACAGGATTGCATGAAGTGAGTGAAAGGAGTTTCCATGTGAATAAAAGGATAGTCCTTTGAAACCAATGATGGAGAAACAAAATGATGAACACAGAATGTTGATGAATAATGACCATTGAGTTTTTATGCTTCTACTACTTCTCCCTCTGAGATGAGGGCTGATCTTTTTGCACCTGATAAAATATTTTTAACTTGTAACTGTTTTAAAATTTCTGCTTTCTCTACCATAAAAGAGGGACTCTGGAGGCCCACTTGTCTGTAGAAGAGATGATGGAGCCTGGGTTCTTGCTGGGATCACTTCCTGGGCAGCTGGTTGTACTAGAGTTTGGAATCCTTTCAGAAATAAGCAGAGGAAGGCATCACCTGGCATTTTCTCCAAGGTATTTGTGTTGATGGATTTTATCACACAGACCATGACAGGTGAGTGTAATTTCTGTGGATTCTTGCTTCCTCATCCACTGCAACTCAAAAAAACAATCATGCCTATTTCAAGGATAGTTAGTCTATGTTGCAGATATAATCAGAAATAAGCTTTAAAATGAGAAGAATATGGCTGGTTTTTGTTCCTAATCCAGTGTATATAAATTTTTAACTCTGATTTCATGAACAATGATACCTGTCAATTTAACTTGAACATCAACTGGATTGTCAAGTTTATGGTCATGTAGATTTTCATGAGATATGCTTTTTGTACTTATGAGATTTTAAAATAGTTTTTGACAATAGTCTCATTAGAAGATTCTTTTTTATAAATTTATTTATTTTTTAATTGAAGGATAATTGCTTTACAGAATTTTCTGTTTTCTGTCAATTTTCTGTTTTCTATCAAACCTCAACATGAATCAGCCATAGGTATACATATATCCCCTCTCTTTTGAACCTCCCTCCCATCTCCCTCCCCATCCCACCCCTCTAGGTTGATACAGAGCCCCTGTTTGAGTTTCCTGAGCCAGACAGCAAATTCCCATTAGCTATCTATTTTACATACGGTAATGTAAGTTTCCATGTTACTCTTTCCATACATCTCCTTCTCTCCCCCCTCCCCAAGTCCATAGGCCTATTCTCTATGTCTGTTTCTCCATTGCTGCCTTGTAAATAAATTCTTCAGTACCATTTTTCTAGATTCTGTATATATGCATTAGAATACAGTATTTAACTTTCTCTTTCTGATTTACTTCACTCTGTATAATAGGTTCTAGGTTCATCCACCTGATTAGAACTGACTCAAATGCATTCATTTTTGTGGCTGAGTAATATTCCATTGTGTTTATGTACCACAACTTCTTTATCCATTCATCTGTCTATGGACATCTAGGTTCCTTCCATGTTCTAGCTATTGTAAATAGTGCTTCAGTGAACAGTGGGATACATGTGTTTTTCAGTTTTGGTTTCCTCAGAGTATATGCCTAGGAGTGGGATTGCTGGGTCTTATGGTGGTTTTATTCTTAGTTTTTTTTTTAAGGAATCACCATACTGTCTTCCATAGTGGCAGTATCAATTTACATTCCCACCGACAGTGCAAGAGCATTCCCTTTTCTCCACATCCTCTCCAGCATATATTGTTTGTAGACTTTTTGATGATGAACATTCTGACTGGTGTGAGGTAATTTCTCATTGTAGTTTTGATTTGCATTTCTCTAATAATGAGCGATGTTGAGAACCTTTTCATGTGTTTGTTAGCCATCTATAAATCTTCTTTGAAGAAATGTCTGTTTAGGTCTTTTTCCCTCTATTTGATCAGGTTGTTCATTTTTCTGGTATTGAGTTGTATGAGCTGCTTGTATATTTTGGAAATTAATCCTTCCTTTGTCAGTTGTTACATTTGCTATTATTTTCTCTGATTCTGAGGGTTGTCTTTTCACCTTGCTTATAGTTTCCTTTGCTCTGCAAAAGCTTTTAAGTTTAATCAGGTCCTACTTGTTTACTTTTGCTTTTATTTCCATTACTCTAGGAGATGGGTCATAGAGGATCTTCCTTTGATTTATGTCATCGAGCGTTTTGCCTATGTTTTCCTCCAAGAGTTTTACAGTTTCTGGTCTTACATTTAGGTCTTTAATACATTTTGAGTTTGTGTATGGTGTTAGAAAGTGTTCTAATTTCAGTCTTTTGCATGTAGCTGTGCAGTTTTCCCAGAACCATTTATCGAAGAGGCTGTCTTTTCCCCATTGCATATTCTGGCCTCCTTTGTCAAAATTAAGATACCCATAGGTGTATGAGTTTTTTCCTGGGGTTTCTATCTTGTTCTATTCCCCTATATTTCTGTTTTTGTGCCAGTACCATCCTGTCTTGATGACTGTAGCTTTGCAGTATCATCTGAAGTCAGGAGATTGATTCCTCCAGCTCCATTCCTCCAACTCTGGTCTTTCTCAAGACTGCTTTGATTATTCGGGGTCTTTTGTATTTCCATATGAATTATGAAATTTTTGTTCTAGTTCTGTGAAAAATGCCATTGGTAATTTGATAGGGATCAAATCTGTAGATTGAGTTTGGTAGTATAGTCATTTTCACAATATTGATTCTTCCTACCCAGGAACATGTAGTATCTCTCCATCTGTTTATGTTGTTCTTTGATTTCTTTCATTAGTGTCTTATAATTTTCTGTGTACAATTCTTTTGTCTCCTTAGGTAAGTTTATTCCTAGATATTTAATTCTTTTTGTTGCAATGGGGAATGGAATTGATTCCTTAATTTCTCTTTCTGATTTTTCAGTTAGTGTATAGAAATGCAAGTGATTTCTGTGTATTGATTTTGTATCCTGAAACTTTGCTAAATTCACTGATTAGCTCTAGTAATTTTTTGATACTGTGCTTAGGATTTTCTATGTACAGTATCATGTCATCTTCAAACAGTGAGAGCTTTAGGTCTTCTTTTTCAATCTCGATTCTTTTATTTCTTTTTCTTCTCTGATTGCTGTAGCTAGGACTTTCAGAACTATGTTGAATAATAGTGGTGAAAGTGAACGCCCTTGTCTTGTTCCTAAACTCAGAGGGAATGCTTTTACTTCTTCACCATTAAGAATAATGTTTGCTGTAGGTTAAACATGTATGGCCTTTATTATGTTAAGGTAGGTTCCTTCTATGCCCATTTTTTGAAGAGTTTTAATCATAAATGGGTGCTGAATTTTGTCAACGGCTTCTTCTGCATCTACTGATACTATCATATGGTTCTGATCTTTCAATTTGCTAGTATGCTGTATCACATTAATTGATTTGCATATATTGAAGAATCCTTGTATCCCTGGAATAAGCCCAACTTGATCATGATGTGTGAACTTTTGGATGTGTTGTTGAATTCTGTTTTTGTGTGTGTGTGTGTGTTGTCTTTTTCTGGTTTTGGTATCAGAGTGATGGTGGCCTCATAGGATGAGTTTGAAAGTGTTCCTTCCTCTGAAATTTTTTGAAAGAGTTTTAAGAAAGATAGGCATTAGCTCTTCTCTAAATGTTTGATAGAATTCTCCTGTGAAGCCATCTGGTCCTGGGCCTTTGTTTTTTGGGAGATTTTTTTTAGTCACAGCTTCAGTTTCAGTGCTTTAATTGGGTTGTTCATAATTTCTATTTCTTCCTGGTTCAGTCTTGGAAGATTGAACTTTTCTAAGAATCTGTCCATTTCCAGGTTATCCATTTTATTGCCATATAGCTATTCATAATAATCTCTTATAATCCTTTGTATTTCTGCATTGCCTGTTGTAACCTCTCCTTTTTCATTTCTAATTTTGTTGATTTGATTCTTCTCTCTTTTTTCTTGATGAGTCTGGATAAAGGTTTGTTAATTTTGTTTATCTTCTCAAAGAACCAGCTTTTAGTTTTATTAATCTTTACTATTATTTCTTTCATTTCTTTTTCATTTATTTCTGCCCAGATCTTTATGATTTATTTCCTTCTACTAACTTTGGGGGTTTTTTGCTCTTCTTTTTCCAGTTGTTTTAGGTATGAAGTTAGGTTGTCTATCCAATGTTTTTCCCATTTCTTGAGGTAGGATTGTATTGCAATGAACTTCCCTCTTAGAACTGCTTTTGCTTCATCCCATAGGTTTTGAGTTGTTGTGTTTTCATTGTCATTTGTTTCTAGAAATTTTTTTTATTTCCTTTTTGATTTCTTCAGTAATCTGTTGGTTATTTAGAAACGTATTATTTCATCTTCATATGTTTATGTTTCTTACAGTTTTTTTCTTGTAATTGATATCTAGTCTCATAGGATGTGGTCAAAGAAGATGCCTGATATGATTTCAGTTTTCTTAATTTTACTGAGGTTCGATTTGTTACCCAAGATGTAGTCTATCCTGGAGAATGTCCTATGTACACTTAAGAAGACGGTGTGTTCTACATTTGGATGGAATGTCCTGAAGATATCAATGAGATCCACCTCATCTAATGCATATTTTAAGATTTTTGTCTCCTTATCAATTTTTGTTCTGATGATCTGTACATTGGTGTGAGTAGGGTGTTAAAGTCTCCTGCTATTATTATGTTACTGTCAATTTCTCCTTTTATGTCTGTTAGTGTTTGTCTTATGTATTGAGGTGCTCCTATGTTGGGTGAATAGATATTCACAATTGTTATGTCTTCCTCTTGGATTGATCCCTTGATCATTATATAGTGTCCTTCCTTATCTCTTGTAATCTTCTTTATTTTAAGGTCTATTTTGTCTGATACGAGGATCGCTACTCCAGCTTGCTTTTGCTTCCCATTTGCATGGGATATATTTTTCCATTCTCTCACTTTCAGTCTATATGTGTCTTGGAGTCTGAAGTGGGTTTCTTATAGACAGCATATAGATGGGTCTTGTTTTTGTATCCATTTAGTTAGTCTGTGTCTTTTGGTTGGAGCATTTAATCTTTCATTTAAAGTAATTATTGATATACATTGCTATCTATTGCCATTTTCTTAATTGTTTGGGATTGATTTTGTAGATCTTTTTCTTCTTTTGTATTTCTTGACTATATAAGTCCCTTTAAGATTTGTTGTAAAGTTGGTTTGGTGGTACTGAATTCTCTTAACTTCTGCTTGTCTAAAAAGCTTTTGATTTCTCCATCAATTTTGAATGAGATCCTTGCTGGATATAGTAATCTTGGTTGTAGATTTTTCCCTTTCTTCTTTAAATGTATCCTGCCATTCCCCTCTGGCCTGCAGAGTTTCTGCTGAAATAGCAGCTGTTAAACATATGGGATTTCCCTTGTATGTTACTTATTGCTTTTCCCTTGCTGCTTTTAATATTCTTTCTTTGTGTTTAGTCTTTGTTAGTTTGATTAATATGTGTCTTAGTGTGTTTCTCCTCAGGTTTATCCTGTACAGGATGCTTTGCGCCTCTTGAACTTAATTATTTCCTGTTCCATGTTGGGGAAATTTTCAACTATAATCTCTTCAAAAATTTTCTCACACCTTTTCTTTTTCTCTTCATCTTCTGGGACCTCTATAATTCAAA